CCAGCACTGCTGTTTTATTTCCTCCCTCTTTCTTTGGGAAACCATTATGTTCGAAGGACATTTCTCCTCCATCATGGCTTTTTAATTCCAGGACATTTTTCCTACACATTTTTGCTGCTGCAGCAAGTCTCTGGTGTGGAGCGACACGTTGACACATGGAACATATATTAGGCCAGAGGTTCAGTACTGCCTTGGATAGTTTAAAGCATTTCATGCCCCAACACAAGTGATCTAGATCAAATCATACCAACACACAAAAAACAGCTATTTCTGCCTTTTAATCTACTTTTAATTCTACTTCAGTAACATGATTTCTCTTTGCTGCGGTCACTTTTTTTTTAATATGTAAACAAATATGATCTAACAAAGCTATAAATTCATAGATTTTATTTGCGTCACTACTCAAATCCTCAATTCCAAAAAAGGCAGGATAGTGTGTGAAATAAAAAAAAGAAAGCAGTGATAAGTAAATTGCATTTGAGTTAAGACAAGAGCATGTTCACCACTGTGTTACACCACCTTTTCTTTTAACAACACTTAATAATGGTTTGGGGACTGAGGACACGAATTGATTCAGTTATGAAAACTGAATTTTTTTTTCATTCTCTTTTTCAACCATCTTGGGCATTTATTGTGGTATTTTGCGCTTCATAGAGCACTATATGTCCTCAATAAAAGACAGGTCAGGACTTCAGGCAGGCTAGTCTATCACTTATACTCTCTGATTACGCAGTCATGCTGTTGTTACACATGCAGAATGTCATGTAAACATGGACGCCCCTAAAATACATCTAGAAGGCAGTACATGTTGCTCCAAAATGTGTTCCCATGCCATGGGCACTAATATACTATGACCAATCTACCCACATCAATATATCATACCATGACATACCCCAATGGTGTTTTTAAAACGTGACTTCTGCTGTGCATATGACGACTTGCATTTGGGGATGCAGTGATGAATGTTGTTTATTGATAATATTATGTCAAAGCACTCCTGAGCCCATGTGGTGATATCCATCACAGAAGCATGCCAATTTGTAAGGCAGTGCCCTCTGCAGGATCGAAGGTCACAGGAATTCAGTTGTGGTTTTCTGCCTTGCTGTTTACGCACAGATTTCTCCTGATTCCCTGAATCCTTCGATGATATTATGCACCACAGCAGGTGAAACACCTAAAATCCTTGCAATTACTTCTTTGAGGAAAAGTGTTAAAACGGTTATTATTCACTGGTGCATTTTTTGTCACAATGCAGAGCCTTGACTCATCCTTGTTTATAAAAGACTAGATCTTTCCTGGATGCTTCTTCTGTGCTCATAAACGTTTGCTTCATTTGTTTTGCCAGTTCCCAACTTCTCTCAGAACATATTGCAGGCATCAATTTCAGAGTATATATTTCCAAAAAACAATGAAGTTGATAAGGTAGAACACGAAATATCTTGTCTTTGTACTGATTTCATTTAGTACAGGTAAAAGTGGATTTACAAAGTGGATTTACAAATCACTGCTTTCTGATTCACTAATCAGTTTGACAGTTACAAAAAATGGCAACACAAACGGAAGAGGACAGGAATGACCCTGTCTAAAACATATTTTTCTCTCTCAGAATTTCCCTCATAAAAATTTGAATTTCTGAAGCCCTGTGGAAGAAAACTGAAAACTGCTGCCCATCAATATTCAGTTGAGGCAAAAAATAAACAAACCAGTCCTTCGCTTTGCTTCGCTGATTTTCGAGTTGGGAGTTGGAGAAGCATTAAAAAAAGGACCATGTGATTGCACATTTTGAGCACACTTTGACAGGCAGAGAGCGAGCACAAATGGAATAGAGAGTGATTAGGAGAGTGGAGGGAGGGAGAGAGGGAGGCGCTCATTGGCAGCTTTTAACAAAAGCTGCTAATTACTCGCCAACTGTACGGTGCCTGTGTTAAGGAGCTGATTGTTAGCTGTCTTTTCATGCTATTTTCCAATGATAGGCAGGGAGATCAGATGAGATCAGGCTCCTGTGCTGGGCTTAACGGTGTGGAGGTGGAGGGGGGAAGGGGCAGTTGAACAGCTTCTGGTTTATTCATGGAGCCGCCTCGGCGATCTTGAGTGTCTGTGGATATGGTATTAATCTAAACTTGTATATTTTGGAGGTACGAGGGCAAAAAGAAAGTTTGTGTTTGCTCACTTTAAAAACTGATCGCTCCATACATCATGCTCAGCTTGTCTTACAGTCTGTGGCTCCAAGACTGACCTGTATAACTAATTGGCACCCCTATAACTCACATACTCATGTCTGCAGTGTGCTGTTCCATCCATACTATAGCTGTGCCCATTTTTCTTGTGCAAGCAACATGTCTGAGGTTATTCACATAAATACACATGCTTCATTTTTGCCTCAGATGATCAGTGAACGCCACAAATCACAGCACTTTGTCCTTGCACTCGTGGAACTTATGATTTCTGCCCTTGGTACTTATGATATATGTAAGCTATTTTAAAAGAAAAAAAGACTAATCTCTTTCTTGTTCCATTAGCTAAACAAAGAAGTGTAGCCTTATATAACAGAGCCTGCCAAGCACTGCCAGTGAACTCTGTACACTGTGATAGGCATGAAAACGTGCATCAGAAGGGTCAGTTATGGCTACATGCAGACACAGTATGATTCCAGCATGAATGCAGGTTATGCTAAACCCTTCACCTTTTGTAAATGTCTTGCCTAAACCTGGTCTGAAACAGTCCTAAGAGTTCCATTTAAACCTTGTCCACTGTTATCAACGATATGCAGGCCCAGCTCACAATTAGATGGCCTGGATGTCTCTCACAATCTTATCTGACATGACATTTCAGCCCACTCTAAAGGTTTCAGCAAGACACAACGTCATTCAGATCTGAGAGCTAAGATTAAACACAAGACTGTATTATCAGCTCATATATTCTAAAGCATCATGCTAACCTTTTTATATCATTAGTTCAGTTAGTGCAACCTAAAGAGAAGTGATACAACATGAAATGCAATTCGGGGCTATGAAAGTGAATTTTGAATACAATACTGAGACAAGATTCTATCACTTTGCATCAGAAATCTGCAACTGTAACAGTTGTTCCTTCAACCACTTGACTTAACCTCTGTATAATTAGCTATATACTTAAATTGGAAAATGCTATCCAGTGTTATGGTCCCTGTACCCAGATATTTTTGAAAACTCTGCACATAAAGGATGCATTTTCTGTCACAAAAACTGAGCTCTCAGAAAATGTTTTTCAAGGGGTTTTCATGTGAATGGGCAAAATGCAGCTTTCCCGAAAATGCTGACATCACACAGTTAATTTGAACTTGGTTGTTGTTTTCATTTATTGAGCATGCAGAACTCTATTTAATACGACTGACTGGGTTTCTTTGTGCTCAGCAATTTGGGGGTTGACTAAACTGATAGAATTTAGTTCTACTTTTTCATTATCATTATTTCATTAATTCAGCTGGAGTTAGAAAAGTTAGAAAAACTTCTCTGCCTGAGCTGGACTGTGTCAATGCTTCAGAGACAGTGCAGTAGCCAAGGTAACATAAACAACAGCACAAGAGACAAGTGGAAGATTTTTTTTCCTCTTTTTAAGCTTTAATTTCCTGGCAGAAATCGGACTTTGACTTGGAATCTTATTTGAGATTGACTTTAGCAGGTCTACTGCTTTGCAATAACCCTTTGAGTGGTGTTCGGGTCTGTGGGACCCATTTTCAACGTTTACCAAAAGAAAAAAAATGATGCGATTTATTAATATTTCAAGCTCAGATTCATTGGCCTTTGCTCATTTTCTGTGAAGAACATATAAAATATCACACTTTCAGTGACTTCACATTGTAACCCCCCCTAGACATTTATATGACACGTGGTGTTGGGGTGAACCCGCGGGGAAGGTGCTGTGTCCCTCACTCTGTTCTCCTCCTACATCGCCTGCTGTTAGTGAGTGCGTGTGTGTGTCTGTGTGTGTATGTGTTTGTATATGTGTGTGTGTGTGTGTCTGTGTGTGTGTGTGTGTGTGAGGGTGAACAACATGGACAGGCTGCTAACTGGCTACAGCTGCTAAAGGAGAACCCTACACTGCCACTTGTGATATTTTAAACATCTGGTAGTTTTACATAAATTGTATGGCTGTATTGATTTAAAAAACCAATAATGCGGTGGGTCCATCAGACCACTGAGTAACAAAAACATCAACACCACATAAGGGTTAAGTCGAGCAAGCCTATTGTGTTAGCAACACACTGCCATCATTTAGAAAATCAATAATGTGCAATACATAATTCACAATGTTTTTCTTGAGGTATATGACATCAAATTTTATGAGGGTATTATCATCCCCTTCTGGGCTGGCATACTTGTCAGTGTTTTTCAGTCATTTCTGCCTTCTTGTGTAGGTGGAGAGATTTTTCGGAAATTCTGTTGCAGATGAAGATTATTTTTTCAAACTAAAGAACAACTACATTCTCAAAAATATTCAGATGCGTTTGGATGAGGCCTAAAAATGTAGTCATCCTCCTCCTATTGTTTTGCACAGCAAAACCCCAAATATAAATAATAATGATGGTAATGATGTTTCTGAATCAATCTTTGCAATTTAACACAGAAGGACAAATTAGTATGGGTAGCACAAGGCCTGATTTTCGAGCTCTTTTAAGAATACTGATGCTAGAATACTAAAGCTCAATCAGTCAATGTTTTAAAGTGTGGGTTTATTAATCAGTAACTAATCTTCAGCCTTAATATTACAAACTAATATAGGTTATGCAGTAACTGCCATGAAACTAAAATGTATGTCTAGCAGCTATGAGAGTGAGCCTATACATAGGAACTTGCAGTTTAAGGATGTACACAGCATATACATTATATAGGAAGCAAACATGTTTACATCCTTTAAAGCACGCTCTGGAGTATCGAACCATCTGCAGCAGAGTGAATCTAAGCCTGTGTCTAAGAAAAGAGAGGGGGGGGGGAGAGCGTAAACACTTAAAAAACACTTACAGCTTCCGAACTTGAGTGGGCAGGCATGGGCGTCCATGGGAAAATCTTCCAGATGCATGGGGCACTCAGCGTGAATGGTTAATCTGAAAGCAAGAGAGAGAGAGAGAGAGAGAGAGAGAGAGCAGCACAGGAGAGAATGAGAGAGAGAGAGAGAGAGAGAGAGACAGACAGACAGAGAAGAAAAAAAAACAGTGAGATAGCATATCTGTTTAATGGGACAGTCCAGAAAGCGGATTAGGCACCGAGGAGGCACTGCAAAATTAAATGCCGTCATCATTTATTTTGTTTAAATCGTGTGTGTATCTGGGGCAGCTTGCAGCTCTGCATCTTAAGATAGGGTGTGATACAAAGAGGGAACGGAACTCAGCTTAAGAAAGTCCAACACTTTTCAAAGTCTTTTGTACATGAGTCCGACAAAAAGAACAATATCTTTTGAGATGAGTATCTAGTGCCCTATAGATTTAAGTGCTAAAAATACCAACATTTCAAGAGCATGCACTGGCTGACATGCTGAAGCTCAAAACTGCACAATATATGACGTGCTGCTGAAGAACAGCTGAGTCATACCTTGCAAGCTAACACTTCAATGCAGCGTTAGCCTTGGTAATATAAAGCTAACTATAAATAGCTCCGCTGAGCTGTTAATTAAGCAATATCGGGGCTTGATTCCCAGGGGTGAATCAAAGTCATATCACTGCTTTATGACTGCAGGGTAATGTTGGCTTGTTTCTCATTTCCTGGAGGACTACAGGTGGTAATTCGCATGGTCTTTCTTTCCTTGAATGACGCAGCTCTGTTCGAATATGCCCTGGCTGTCCTTGGCTCCGTCCAAGACTGCAGCAGTGATGAGATAGGTACAATGCTCACGTACAACCTTCAGTAATCTATGGCTCACATTTGCAGTGTGATCAGACATTTGCCCAAGTGTGATTACCAGTATTTAATTTTAAAAATGGATTTTGCAGTTGTTTTGCTTTCCATTGTCTTCTCCATTTCCACCCACTATCTAGGCCTCCTCATCACACTATGCTACAAAGCTCGAAGGCTGAAGACTAGCATGTGTTTCCTCTGAGATACATAGAGCCGGCACATTTCCAACATCACTGGTCAGCTCTATGCGCTTGAAGGAGAATGTGAACTGTTAATTCTATTCAATTCTATATGTTAGATTATTATAGATTAAGTGACCCTTATTAGTCCCACAATGGGGAAATTTCACCTCCGTAATCTAACCCATCCGTGCAGTGAAACACCACATACACACTAGTGAAGACACACACTAGGGGGCAGTGAGCACACTTGCCCAGAGGCCCAGGGAGCAGTTGGGGTTAGGTGCCTTGCTCAAGGGCACCGCAGTCACGTACTGTCACAGACACAAAGAAATAGTCGATGAGTACCCCTCACCACTGTAGCTTGGTGTGTAGTTTAATTTAATTTAGAAATACCGTGTGTTGTGCTGTGCAAGCTATTGGCTAATGTTGCTAATTTTCACATGAGCTGAATGGGCAGAATGAAAGAAGAACCTGCAGGACTTTTTCTCCCCATCTTTCTCCACCAAAAAGCAGTGCAATAAGTGGTAGTTTCTTTAGTCTTTAGACTGAACTTCTCAGCCATAACACTACCCAAAAAGATCTGCTTCATTTCTCTCTCCTTTTTTGCAAAAGTTGTCACAGGCGGATTTGTTGTGGCTCAGATGCAGATTTTTAGCGCAATATGCTTCGCTGTCCGCATACAGCCTTAAAGGACATTCCTGCTACTTGTTTGTATAATATATTTTAATGTTACATGATTTCTTGTGAATTATGTTTTACAGATCATTACAAATGTATTTCAAATGTAATGCAGGTACTGGATCCACCAATAAAGTGGCAAGATTCAATCTGAGAGGTGCCAGACCTGGATCTTTCTTGTTCTGGCACGAATTAAGCCCTAGTGAAAATAAAATCAGAGTGTTTAAAAGTCGGTCATTGTGTTAATGTGAACGATCTTTCATGAAAATCAAAGCTGAAATGCGTAGGTGTATCCCACAGTGAGTCTCAAGTGTTTTAGTATATGGTATGTTTGTATGTGTACAGAACACAGGAGTCAAGGCAATGAAGCAGCATTCATTTATTTTCTGTGAGCTTGTGCGGGTGGACTGTTTGTTCTGTGTCTGCCTCTGTGCTTGGCACATATAGTAACTGCCAGTATATTAACCTGCAGTATGGCTGTGCACATATGTCACTATATGGCTAGCGACTTACTGCGCATGTCCAGTGCTGTTGTGGGCTTGATAGCCATTTGTCAGCTTCACGGTCAGTAAGCTCTGCTCTTGCTCACTAGGGGCAGGCGGGCCCCCCTCAAGCACCCCCAGCAGCATGCAGCTCTGTCTCTGGAGCCCTGCCCTCCTATCATCCGCTTGATTGCTTGTTGACCCAATCAACCTTATCATGACACCTGTTCATGGAGTAGCTCAACAAATCAAATTCCAATGGCCCACAGCCACTGTAGAAAGCCCTACACTTTGTAGTACTCAAATCCACTGCGATTAGAGTTACAGTTAGACTCGAAACTCATTATTTGTGACAGTAAACAGTAAACACACCTACGCTTATTTAGCACTGCCCATCTACAGTTCCCATCAAACGTTTGGACATACTCACAGCAAAAATAAGGAAAGCTCTTCTATTTTCCCACATTTAAAGATCAAGATTATCAGACAACAAATACACATTTATGCTGAGACCAAAAAACAAAACACAAACATAAAACAAAACAAACAAACTTAACAGATAAATAGCTTTATAAATCAAATTTTCTCAGCTGCCTAAAGCTTTTGCACAGTACTATATGCACAAGATTCACCTAGCAGCTCCTCTTAGCCTTGATGCAGCTTTGCACACCCTTTGGCATTCTCTCAAGCAGCTTCGTCCGGGGCTTGAGATGCTTTACCAACAGTACAGAACATGGTCTCATATATCGTGAGCATTTCTTTGGTCCTCAAATATACTTGTCAGATGGGGTATTCCATAAAATATTTTTTATGTCTAAATTTTTTTGGGGGGAAATAATTTAGAAATAACAAACAGCAATTTCAATATTTATTTTTCTCTTAGAAACCAATTTGAAGCATATAAGCATAAGCCTTTAGGTCAAATTATTGTTATGTTTATGAAAAGTACATATTCAAATTAGGTGTATTTGACTAGTACTGTATTTTTCAAACTACGGTGCTGTAAAAAAGTAGTATTTTTTGCTAATTTGTCACACTTGAATGCTGCAGATCATCAAAGTACTTTTAATATTACACAGATAAAACCCAAGCAAACACAAAATGCTGTTTTTAAATGATGATTTCATCTACTGAAGGAAAAATGCTGTTCAGCTCTACATGGCCATGTATGAAGAAGTAAGTGCCCCCTTGGCTACAAAATCAACGAGTTTACCACATTCAACTGACTAATAGGTTCAGTTTCACTAGCCACACCCAGGCATGATTACTGCCAGACCTGTTGAATGAATACATCACTTTAATAGAAACTGCTGGCAATGTGAAACAGGACAGAAGGTCTCAAAAAGCAGCACATGATGCCATGTTCTAAAGAGATTCAAATACAAATGCAAAATAAAGTCATTGAAATCTACCAGTCTGCACAGAGTAAGCCATCATCCACAAATGGAGAAAACTTGGAACAGTGGTGAACCTTCCCAGGAGTGCCTGGCCTACCAAAAATTTCGCCAAGAGCACATCGACGACTCATACAGAAGGTCACAAAAGAACCCAGACAAACATCTAAAGAACTGCAGGCCTCACTTGCTTCAATTAAAGTCAATGTACACCATTCCACAATAAGAAAGACACCAGGCAAAAATGGCATCCATGGGAGAGTTGCAAGGTGCAAACCACTGCTGACCAAAAAGAACACAAAGGCTCGTCTTGCATTTGCCAAAAAACATCCAGATGACTCCAAGACTTTTGGGATAATATTCTGTGGACTGATGAGTCAAAGGTGGAACTTTTTGGAAGACATATCTGGTGTGAAGTTAATATCACATTCCACCATAAGAAAATTATACCAACACTGTGATGGTAGTGTAATAGTCTGGGGTTGCTTTGCTTTGGCAGGACCTGGATGACTTGTCGTAATTGATGGAACCATAAATTCTGCTCTCTATCAGAAAATCCTGAAGGAGAATATCCGCCCGTCAGTCCGTGACCTAAAGCTCAAGCGCAGTTGGGTTATGCAGCAGGACAATGATCCGAATCACACAAGCAAGCCCATTTTTGAATGGCTCAAAAGAAACAAAATTAAGGTTTTGGAGTGGCCGAGTCAAAGCCCTGAACTGAACCTCACTGAGATGCTGTGCCAAGACCTTAAACGAGTAGTTCACGCTCAAAAACCCTCCAATGTAACTGAATTAAAACAATTCTGCAAAGAAGAGTGAGCCAAAATTCTTCCACAGAGATGTAAAAGACTTATTGCAAGTTATCCCAAATGTTTGATTGCAGTTGTTACTGACAATTGTGGCACAACCAGTTATTAGGTTTAGGGTCAATTACTTATTACATGGGTGATATAGGTTTTCAATAAATCTTTATCTTCAGTGAATGGAATGATCATTTAAAAGCTGCATTTTGTGTTTACTCACATTGTCTTTATCTTATATTAAAACTAGTTGGATAATCTGAAACCTTTAAATGTGACAAATTAGCAAAAATAGAAGAAACAGAACAAATACTTTTTCACAGCACTGTATTTTTTTGTGGTGAATATCAAACACTTAATATATGTTGATGTGTCACATTATGTATTTCATTTGCATTTTTGAACTGCAGAAATGCTACAATTGTTTACTCTCTATTTCAGCTTACTATATGTTGTGATAAAACATTTCATACTTAATAATCAAATCAGATATGTTGACAATGTCATAGCAGAGCAAATGTGTTTCTCACCTGAACACCTTATGGTAGACAACTAATAATCTGACTAATACATGGAAAAGAGAAAGCAAATTTGACCCATTAATATAATGATGCTTATAACGAGTCATAATCTATTTTCATACACACAAGGTAGAAGCAGGTGCACAGTGCTGCAGT